CTGTATTGCTATCGATCACTCCCTTGATATCTTCCAGAAGTTTTATTATGTATTTGGATGCTCCTGTATTGGGTGCATATATGTTTACCAGAGTTATATCTTCTTGTTGAATTGCTCCCGTTAGTATTATGTAGTGGTCTACCTTATCTCTTGTTATGGCCTTCACTTTGAGGTCTATTTTGTCAGATATGAGTATTGCAACCCCAGCTTTTTTCTCATTTCAATTTACCGGAAAATATTTTTTTCCATCCCTTCACTCTCAGTCTGTGTGAATCCTTTGTTCTGAGGTGGGTTTCTGGCAGACAGCAAATATATGGGTCATGTTTTCTTATCCATTCAGCTACCCTATGTCTTTTGATTGGGGCATTTAATCCATTTACGTTTAATGTTATTATCGATAAGTACTTGTTTGTTGTCATTTTTTTATATGTATACATATTCCATTGATTTTTTACAGAGAGGAAGCGAGAGAGATAGAGAGTCAGAAACATCGAGGAGAGAGAAACATCGATCAGCTGCCTCCTGCACATCTCCTACTGGGGATGTGCCCGCAACCAAGGTACTTGCCCTTGACCGGAATCAAACCTGGGACCCTTCAGTCTGCAGGCCGACGCTCTATCCACTGAGCCAAACCGGTTTCGGCGTCATTTTTATTCTTAATGTTTGTGTTTCTTCTTGCCTTTCTGTTTCTTCTCTTTACAGCAGTCCCTTTAGCATTTCTTGCATTGCTGGCTTGGTAGTAATAAACCCTTTTAGCCCTTTTTTGTCTGTGAAGCTCCTGATTCCACCTTCAATTTTGAAAGACAGCCTTGCTGGGTATAATATTCTTGGATTCAGTCCCTTGCTTTGCATCACTTTGTATATTTCATTCCATTCCCTTCTGGCCTGGTGTGTTTCTATTGAAAAATCAGTTGATATTCTAATAGGAGCTCCCTTGTAGTTAAATTTCTGTGTCTCTCTGGCAGCCTTTAAGGTTCTTACTTTGTCGTTGGTGTTTGCCAATTTAATTATGATGTGTCTTGGTGTCAGTCTTTTGGGGTTCATCTTGTTTGGCACTCTATCTGCTTCTTGGATTTGCATAGTTTGTTTTCTTGCCAATATCAGGGAAATTTTCTGTCATTATTTCTCCAAACAGGTTTTCTATTCCTTGCTTCTCTTCCTCTCCTTCTGGTACCCCTATTACGCGAATATTGTTGTGTTTTGTGTTGTCCTAAAGCTCCCTTAGGCTCTCGTCTTGCTTTTGAAATTTTCTTTCCAGTTGCTGCTGTGTTTGTATGTGTTTTCTTCCCTTGTCTTATAATTCGCTGATGATTTCCTCAGCCTCTTGTAGCCTGCTGTTTAAGCCTTCCATTGTGTTCTTTATTGCAACTATGTCATTCTTCATTTCCTCTCAGTTCCTTTTCATGTTGGTGGCATTCTCATTCAGCTCCTTATAATTCTCATTGGGTTGTGTGTATTTGTCATTGAGTTGTGTGTATTTGTCATCCAGCTGTTTGAGTATCCTTATAACCATTACTATGAATTCTTTCTCTGATATGTTGCTAGCATCAGTTTCATTTAACTCCCTTTCTGGTGATTTCTTTTTCTTTACTTTGGGGATTGCTTTTTTGTCTTCCCATGTTTTGCTGTAATGTTTTAATTGTAGATCTGATTGCTTTGATACCCAGGTTATTTGGGGGATGGTGCTACTGGTGTGATCTCTCAGGTCTCCTGGGCTTGATAATCTAGTGTAGCTACCTACTTGAGCTATTTGGGTTCTCTTGATTTAGGCCTGTGAGCTGGAAAGGCACAACTGCGGTGTCTAGAAGTCAGCAGCAGCCATGGAGGGGGGTATCCCAATTTTTTCTGTCTTACACCCTTGGTTGAAGTCATGTGTGCCCAGCAGGGACTCATAGTGACACTGGAAAAGCATGCAACAGTAGTGTCCAGAATTCTGCAGCTGTGTGGTGGGCAGACTCAGTTTTTTTCTGCTGCTCCTGTAGTGAATAGGCGCGTGCTTCCAGTGGCGGTGGCTCACAGGGGCACCTGTGGTGTGTTTGCCAGCATGGCATACTGAAGCACTCTGAAGGGCCCTGGCACTGAAGCCACATAATTTAGGCGTTTGTGGGCAGGTATCCAGGGTGAGTTAATTCAGAATTTCTACTGCCGGGCAAAATGCGTCCCTGTTTGTCTAAGATCGCACCTAGCAGGGGCTCACAGCATCTCCCAAGAGAGCCCTGTGGACAGATGGGCTCTGGGTGCCTGCTCCTTGGAAATGCACAACCGTGATGGTGAGTTTGCCCAGCGCAGAGCTCTGATGCACTCTGAGTGGCCCTGGCGCTAAAGATGAGCAACTGGGTTGCCTGTAGGCAGTTATTCAGGAAGAGGGAATTCAGAATTTTTACTGTGGGGCAGCACGCCCCTGTCTGTTCAAAATGACACCTAGTAGGGGTTCACAGCGGCATCCAAGAGCTGCCTATGGAGTGGTGTTCCCTGGAAGTCTGCACACTGGAAATGCATGAATGTTGGAAACGTGCAAATGTGGAGTCCAGAGTTCTGCGGCTGGGGAGGGGGGAAGTTGCACTTACTGCGGTGGGAGCTGTGCACCTTTGGAGGTGGAGGTCCCAGGGTCCGGGGCTCTGTGGGTGGGGCAGCAGGATTTTGGCTGGAGTGGTTGCTGAGTTGCTGGCAGTGTTCAAGGCCTGTCTGGGGAGTGGTGCTGCTGAGTTCCTAGAAGAGGCCACTCTCGCCTTCAAGATGGCGTGGGCTCCATGCCTGAGTGCTGCAGTCTGGGGAGTGCCCACAGCAGTGGTAGTCTCTCCCTGTCCAAGAGAGCCTGGTCTGCCAGCCCCTGCTGCTCCTGCCGGATTTAACTGTCTCTCACTCACACACACACACACACACACACACACCACACACATCCACACACTCTCCTTCCATCCCCTCACTCACTCACTTCCTATCCCTCACCTCTGTCCTACCAGCTGCCATCTTTTTTTTTTTCCTTTGTCAAATATTAATTGAGCATATGGTTTGGGTCGATTTCTGGGTTCTCTATTCTTACTAATTTTCTTTTAGGAAAATATATGCTCTCTTAAAAATATAAAAGCAAAACATCAGTTTTATTTTTTGGTAAAAATGCAATGTGAATCATTGAGTATTATTTGTTTCTATTAGAAAACACTTCCCTCAATATTTTACACAATATTCTTTTTTTCTAAATACATTTTTTCATTATATGATAGTTTACTTCCTATAGAAGTATATTTCAGGAGAATCTCATGGAAATCATAAACAATTTATAGAAATTCACTTTAAAGTCAATATTTTAAATTATTTGGAATTAATTATAGACTCATGCAATCTTAAGAAATGATACAGAAAGATCCTGTGTACCCTCACCCAGTTTCCCCCAATGGTAATATCTTGCATAACTATAATACAGTATCACAACCAGAACATAGATATTGATAATCTATGGACTTTATTTAGATTTCACCACTTTTTTCAGATTTCACCAATTTTGCATGCACTCCTTTGTGTGTGTGTGTGTGTGTGTGTTAATGTAGTATGTGTGTGTGTGTGTATAATTTTTTTCTAGAGACATTTCAGTTGGGAATAAAATAGGCTAAAGCAACTAGGTCTTTTGATCTATTTAACCAATTAAAGCTGCACTATCAAGTCACTTCAAAAGTGGTTGCAATTAAAGGGTGACTGTAATATAAACATAGTTTTTAGTAGTGTAATATTTTGTTGAAGAGATTTTTATTACTCTAGCCCCAACAGTATGTTGGGTACAGAGAGATCCCCATTTTCTTCATTCAAGTAATTATAGTTTCTCTGAACTTGAGAATCTGCAGTGGAAATGTATTTGTGAAAACAAGTGGGACATCAAAAGAACTTGATATTTCAGTGATCCAACTATAAAAGACAGATTTATTACATAATAAAAATCCTTTTGTTTAATATTGCAGCAATAGGAGGGATCCACATCAAATGCACAGGTCCTTTTGTTGAAACATGTTCACTAAACAGAATTGGAGCAATAAGTGGAGCATAGAGTATGCTGAGGGGATACAGAATATTGGGGGGCAAGCCCACAGGTACTGCTGTTCTAGAGAGGCTGCTGAAAATGAGGAGTTCACGATGCAAGCACAATATACCTGCTGGATCACCATTGCCTTCTTGTAAATGAGAACTAGTCCAGGCTGCCTGCACACTTTCAACTTCCTTCTGCAACATTAAACTCTGCTACTTTTTCCACCATCAGCACCTATGAAATCGCATTAAAACTCAGACATTGATTTTATGGAATGAATTTATTTCCAAGAATCTAAATGCCCAGAATGAAATGTGCTCAAAAAAGAAAAATAGGAATTACTCAACCTTTGATCAACCCAGTGTGGAAAGTAACAATTAAAGAGAATGGAAAAACAAAATATACAAGCACCATAATTTAAGGATATTTAGGCCATCAAATGCTGTGAAATTGACCTTCATTTGAAAAACAAAAAACAAAATTATTTTCTATAGAAATATATTCCAAACTTGAGCGATTAGAAAGGACCTTATTAACTGTGTGATTGTGGTCCCCCATGCTCATATCACACATAGTTGTATATTATTTACTTCATCTGTTATAAATGCAACTGAGACTGACATTTTTGTCCACCTCCCATTGAAAATGCAATAACGTTTAGCTAGGTATTTCTAGAAACAGCATTTATATACACACCAAACCAACAGTAATTCCATAGCTCTGTCCGAGAACATGGGCTCCAGGTTTAGCCATCTTCTTCAGATTTAGCTAACTTTTCCAGTGTTAACTTCTGTAAGTCATGTCAGTGACACTCTTGACCATAATTTGTTTATGTTTTTAAGAATGTGCTTTTGCCCACTCAGTCCTCCCACTCAGAGCAAATATGGGGCTAACACATTTTAGAAGATGAGGATACCAATGACTTTGGGACTTTCTGAAGGGTAATATAAATTCCACTTGAGCTTGTAATTTCTCTTCAAAGGTATGCGATGAGGCTGAAGAACTTTGCAAGCCCCTTGGCTTCAGATGGGGACAAAAAACTGGCAGTATTATGGTAAGTCTCATGGAGGCCAAGAGAAAATAGCAGAAAAATTACAGAATAATTTGAAAATTCCAGATCAACTTCAAGCTACTTAGCCCAGATCATTATTCTTGTTTGCCATTAAACTATTAAAGGATAACTAATGGATTTCTTCAGTCGCTGACTAAACATTTACTCTCCTAATTTATACCCTTATCAAGATGGAATTTTAATGCTTACCCCTTCTTTTTTAGTTTTTTAATACTTAAGTTTCTCAGTAACTGTAAGAAGGTTATGAATCAGCATTTTTTTTACAGTTTGCTGGTTATGGCATTAACATAATCTTTCCTCATCACTACAGCTACAGATGTTTATCACTTCTCTACTTGCGAATGTTTAAACTGAAGAAGGACCATGCTATGAAGTACTCCAGATCCCTGATGGAATATTTTAAGGTAATCCTTATTTTTTATAATTTATAGGTGTTGGATGATCATTAATAAGACTTGGCAAGTATGTTATTAATTATCAAGGTTGTTGCTGTCAAAGGCTAAACTTCCCTTATCCCAATAGGCCATGGCCCTCCCACCTCTCCTTTGGGACTCAGCAGAGAGCTTATGTTTTATTTTATTCCAGGGAGAGAAGGTACAACAATAGTGCAATACCCCAACTATTCTCTGGACTAACCAAATGGCCCTTAGCAACTTCCCAGTTGCAGTCAGGGGGATGATGTCTTCTGCCCTACCCTGCATGTTGGACCCACCAGGAGACACAGCTTGTGGCTGTGACTATGATGAGTCTTTTGTTAAATAAGAAGCTAATTCAGAAAATTCTCAACCCCTGCGCCCATTGGCCATGAGGAGTCTTGAAGTACAGTGGTTGAAGTAAAATACAATTGATTACTTTGGTTACCAACACAAACAAACAAACAAACAATAAATAAATAAATAAATAAATAAGTAAATCTACCATCTAGGGAGCTGAGATGTTTAATTTGCAAAGAAAATAAAAAGATATATCAACCTCAACATGCAATGCCAAAATTTGGGAATGAGCCTGGATGAAAACTGCAATTAGTAGCCTGCTGCTAGGCCTGGCCATTCTACCAGAAATAACTGGCATGTGCATCAGTGGAGCTTGTGCTGCTTCTGCCCCCCCCCCAAAAAAAAACCTGGTCATAATGTAAAATTGAGGAGGCTCAGGACTCCTATTGGGCTGGTATCAAAAGATAATATCTATCTATCTATCTATCTATCTATCTATCTATCTATCTATTATCTATCTATCTATCTATCTATCTATCTATCTATCTATCTAATCTTTCATCTGATAAGTACATGGGAACATTTGGCTAAATTGCACCAAAGCAGTTGTTTGAAATTGAAATGAGTTAAATCATGACCTTACATCAATCATCCAAACCCAGTGAGTGGCAGGGCACAGCTAGCTATGTGATAACACTGACTGGGTTGGGGAAAAGAGCAAGTTCACTAGCTGTTATGTGGTGTATCCATAATGCCATAAAGCTAGTGCTTATGCAGGTGGACAGATTCAAATACAACTGCCCATCCCATCATGTCTACAGTCTCAACCTATGTTCTAGAAAGGTGGTTCTTAAACTTGAGTGGGCATCCCAATCCCCTAGAGGGCTCACAAAACAAGAGTACTGGGTCCCATCCCCCAGAGTGTCTGATACTTTATGTCTGAGATTGGGCCTGAGAATTAGAATTTTAACAAGTTCCCAGGTAATACTGATGGTGCAGATCTTATGATCACACTTTGAGAGCCAATGTTCTAATATCTGTCCTCTTCAGCCTGTCCTGTAGCTTTCAGGACATTGCAAAATACCAAACAGATGTTTAATAATTTACGCCTCTGTCAGAGCATTGAGCTTCTTTGAGATTAAAAGTTGGAGTTTGCAGAATGTAACTTAGATGTGGATCTCTGAGCTCCAGAGAAATGGTGCATTCTCACTGAGCTCTTGAAAGTGCTGCCTCTTTCTCTAGCACCCAATTTGCAAAGGGGGCTGGGCATAAACCCAAGAGGCAGAAGAGGAGCATAACCTGGGCCATGCGGCCTGAGCGGCAGGACTGAGTCTGGCTCAATGCCACAAATATTCTGGCCCTGTGCTACTTTGGCTCCAACCTGGTGAAGTCATTATAATGAGCCAGGTCATTGTCCTATTGTGGTGATGCTAAGTATCATGTTTCCCTGTACTCTACAAGTGTTTGGCCACAAAAATATAGCAGACCCATTCTTTAACCCAGCCCAGATCTATCAGATGAAAATAGAATATTGAGCATTCCATTGCAATGCAGCCCTGGACCAACTACATTGCTAAATAATGAAAACTGTCAGTCATGAGGATTTGCATGTAAAGATAGCAAATCAGGTCAATTCACACACAGAACAAAACAACAGCAACAACAACAACAAAAAAAACCACAAACCACTGCTTGGTCTAACACATTCTTAGTATATCAGAAATCACATCCCACCTTGAATCCCAGGGAAAATGTTTGCAATTGGAGCTAAAAGTGAAAAGCTTTCCTGTACTCTGAAGAGCTTGTTTTGCAGAATAAATTTCAGATGAAGATAATTAAACCACTTCTTGGAGAACTGAGTCTGATTTCACTGGGCCTTTTAGTATATAAGATCTTTCATCAAGTGACTTTCATGGTCCTGATTGGAGGCCACTAATTATCCTAACCAGCTATTTTCATCTAGTGTTTGTTGGTTGTGGTGTGCTGACATGCACATATATCCTAGCTCTGCTAACAAAACAAGAGGCATCCTGAAATGCTGCAATCAATATTAATGTACTCTAAATCACACTTCCATCTGTTTGTGAATTAATAAAACACAAATAGATGTCCTTATTTCCCTCTCTTTCTCTCTTTTTTAGCAAAATGCTTCAAAAGTCACTCAGATACCATCTTCATGGGTAGGCAATGGAAAGTAAGTATCTTATGAAAATTCCTTTTTCAGAAAATCAATGATGTAATAGACCCCAAATATTTTGTATTGACAACTCAGAATCAAAGGTCAATTTTGAGAATATGGTAATTTTTGTAAACACAAAATTCTAGTCAGATTTTAGCTAATTCCAAAACAGAAAAGTTTAACATGATCTGATTAAAAATTTCTTTAACTATTTGATCTTTAAGCTACATTATAGCCTTAAAAATGTCTGTTAATGAGATGGCAAGCATCAAGCCATTTCAGGGAGGCAGGGTAAAAGTTAACTTTAATGTAGTGATTTTTCAATAATTCACTCAGTAAGGAAAAACCAATGAAATATTTATTGATATAAGGTAAGTGCTGTTTAATAAAATCAAATGCATAATAGTGCTAAAAATGTGAAGGCACTTAGCTAGTCAATTATCTGAGCCTTCATGATGATTTTTATATTAATACAAAAATACCCTGACCTAAAATATAAATGCATCTACTGTAATGCTGATTTAAGGCTCAGTGAACTCATCCACTCTAGTGGCCATATTTAGAGCTCTATGTGCTTGGGGCAGCTCAATCTTCCAGCAGTAGGGTGGGTGTCTGGAAATCTGTTGACCAGGTCCTGATGCTGTTCTTATATTCCAAGGTAAGCTAAGTGAACCCCTTCCTTTCTAAGGGTTTGTTTATCCATCTCTAAAATAAAAAGGTTGGGCCTGATGACTTCCTGGCCCATCTGAAGAGCTATTCTTTCTAAGAGAGAGACTTTGAGTCTTAGTTCTGGCTCAGCCATGAATTGGCTATGTGTTTGCGCTTACTTGCTTGAGCGTTAAATTATACTCTGATGCCAATACCACCTTCACCACCCTAAGCTAGTAGTGAGAAGGGAAAATAGGTGACTGTGGACACAAACATTTATAAAGAGCTGGGTTTTTTTTAATTTCCATCAGTTCAAAAGTCTTGCATCTCTAACCAAAACACTTTCTTTGAGAGTAAAATAGTCTCCTCTGACACTTTATAAGTATATACAAAGCACACTCCCAAAGCAGTGGAATGTTGAATTCTAAGATCGTAAAGACTTTCAGAGTGAGTGTGGGAACAGAGCTTTTAAAAACTATGCATTAACTCAATTACTGTATTGAAAGGCAGTACCATTTAAATTGTTGAATTAGGTCTTACTCTCATATTGACAAACAAAAATGAAAGAACACTTTTCTCTGCAAGTTCAGAAAATAAAAATAGCATTGAAAGGCCGAATATATTCTCTGAGCACAGAGTAAATCAAGAGCAAGTTTGGGAAAGCAGCCATTAAGGATCACTGAGAATATACATATAAAATCGGAAATGAAAGAACTCAAAAATATCCTAAGCTCGTGAAGTCATACTAAAAACCTCCTGAAATCATTTTTTAAGCAGCTTCTATCTGAAGTAATCATGCTCCTTTTGGTAGGCCATAGAGCTAATGAATTAGGGAACTCAAAACAATCATCCAAAGGTAGTATCTTGTCTATTCAACAAACACTTCAGGTGCATTTCCTTTTGAGGGGCTGAGGACCCAGCTGAATTCAATGTGATCCCTGCACTCCAGAAGTGCACAGTCCCATAAAAGGCGGTGACAGGTGTGAACAAATTTCTTTGGAAGCCCAAGAAAAAGAGAGCTCGAGCCTCTTTGGTTAAGGAGGGCTTCTTATCTGCAAGAAAAGACTAATTTCCTTAGTGAATGAGGATAGCTGGCCCCACACAGGACCTCTCATAGCACCTTCCAGAAGCAGCACCCCTGACTTTGAGGGCTATAGGGGAAGGAAGAACAATAAATCAGTTAGAAGAAGAAAAATCATATTGGTGTAGAGGAGAGGTTAGCAAAGTTTTTCTGTAAAGAGCCAAATTGTACTTATTTTGGGATTTGCCAGCCAAGTGGGAAAACTGAGGCTATTATATAGAAAGAATATAAAAGAAAAAATAAATTTCTGAAAAAATTTACTGATGAAATTAAAAATATAATAACAATTAAGTACAACTTTTATAATACAAGTCTCCTAAGGATAAGAATGGAATTTAAGAAAAAATATTAACTTAATTGAGATTCAAAGTTAGTGTTTCCCTTACATCAAATTGATTGCAAGTATTCATCTTTTCAAACCATTTTTAGCTCACAGGCCATGCAGAAACAGATAGTAGGTCAAATTTTCCAACCCCTGATGTAAAGTCATGGAAGCCATGTTGTGGACAGTTTAAAGAGCTGGGCAACAATTTCAAAAGTCACATAGAATAAAAAGAAAGAGAGCTAGGAATGTTATGGAATTGTGAGAGAAAGAGGCCATTTGAGGCCTTTACAGGAGCTGTTTCAGTAGACAGGTGGCTGTGAGTGCGGCACTGAAAGGGTTAGAAGAGAATGGATATGTCTACTTGCTTGAGACATTGGCCAGTAAAAGGATTTTGAGGAATCTGGTGCTCACTGGAGGTAATATCCACATTAAACAAAACTTGGGAGGGCTATGCCTGTGTGAACATGAGTGAGATACCTGTGAGCCTGAGAGAGCAATGGAAATAAGCCAATATGGATACAAGGGTGAAGGTAGAGGCGGACAGCCTTATCAAGTGAAATCTTTTGTACAGTGAAGACTTTTAAGTAACATGGTGAAATGGAAGGAAAGTGGACTTTGAGAAAAACAGATCTGCTTCTTAAATTTTTTTTAATTACAGTTTATTTTCAATATTATTTTATATTAGTTTCAGGTGTCCAGCATAGTGGTTAGACAATCATATACTTTACAAAGTATTACCCCAATATTTCCAGTAACCACCTGGCACCATACATAGTTATTACAATATCATTGACTATATTTCCTATGTTGTACTTTATTTCCTGGTGACTATTTTGTTAATTCTGATATGTACTTCTTAATCCCTTAATCTTTTTTCACCCAATCCACCAAATGCCCTCTCCCTTGGGCATCATTCAAAACAGATTTGCTTTCAAATTTTGGCTCTTTGACTTATTTTCTGTGTGGTCCTCAGAAAGGAGGTGCACTTCTCTATGCCATTTTATCATCTGTTAAACAGTGGTGGCAGAAATTCACCTATAGAGTTGTCTTGAAACTTAGAGATACTATTAGTAAAGCCCAGAGCACCATGCTTGCTACATAGTACCTTTAAGAAATGGTGGCTGCTTCCATTTTTGTTGTCATCGTTACCCTTTTTAGTTGGAAATCATAAGCAATCCTGCTTTTAAAACTCCCACAGCTCTTGATTTGTTACCATAGGTTGCTAGAAATTAATGGATTCTGCTATCCTATTAGATTATTAGGGTTCACTTACTCTTTTATTCACCAAACATTGGGTGCTGACTATACATAAGATACTTGCCAGACCCTTTAAATATTCTTTATCCTTGTGCTATATGTATTCATCTGCTCTCCTCAGGGCACCTGATATGTAGTGGATATTAAATAAGGAATAGAGGGATAGCTGGAAGGCAATTTGTTCATTTACTTAACTGATATTAATTAAGTACATAATATGTGCACCAGGCATTTTTCTACAGAGCACTGGATAAATAGAAATAGACAAAAATTCCTGTCCTTGTCAAAGTTACATCCTGTTGGAGGAAAGACAGTAAAAAATATGCAGTATGCTAGATGATGATTAATGTCAGCGAGAAAATAGAAACAAGGAAGGGGATAGAAAGGGCTTCTGGGGATGGGTCAGGGAGCAGTAGGACAATTTTTAATAAGGATATTAAAGGAGAACAATGGGAGAGTGAGCCCTGCAGATACCTGAGGGAAGTGCATTTAAGCAGAGGAACTGCAACCACTTCTTCAGTGGGGAAATGCCTACTGAGTCCAAATAACAGCAAGGGGGTAAGCGTAGCTGAGAGAGGATGGTGGCTTGGACCAGGGTGCTAGTTGTGGAAGTGGTGGGAAGCATGTGCTTGTTTGGGCATACTCATTTGTACATGCCATGGATGTATGAAGAAAAGGACAAGATCTACAAACAGGCCCACAGAAAGAAAATAGGATGAGGAATGCCAAGCAGTGGGGAGAGCCAAGTTGAAATTGGAGTCATACCAAGATGAGTGCTGTATGAGCCATCTTTTAACCAGAGTCATGATTTCTTAGGCACATTATTATTTTTCATTTTATTATTACAATGCGATGTACAGACATGATCATGAGGGAGTCAGCTCATGGAACTTCATGTGAGATCAGTAATGACTGAAAGCAAACAAATGCCCTAGCTCTGCTCAACTCCACTACTCATTACTTCAAAGAAAGGAAGAAGTGGAAGGCAAAGAATGCCCCTCAATAACACTTCCATATTTATAAACTAAAAAGGTCTTTTCAAGATGTACAAGGTGATTTGTTTCCCCTTGTAACTTCTGGACATGATTGGAAATCATTGAATCCAACCTTTTCTTCCAGTAGACAGAACGCTCCACAAAGGAAAGAGATATACTCAGGAGAATACAGCAATTCATAACAGAACTGGGGCTAGGATTCAGATATCCTGGGATTCCAGTACTTTCCAAGGACATATGGTTCCCTTTCACCATTTGTGACACCTGACAGCTTTGAAGTTTTCTCTAGAAATTACAAACGAGGATATATTCCATTATTGCCTTAAATTGACATTTAAGAGTTAATGACCAACACTGGGGGGAAAGGCTATACAATAGCATTTATAACCTGCCATGACAAAAAAAATCCAGAATTCTCTGCTTTTTTGTGTATGTTATTAGCTGACCATTCTGTGCCTAGGTCCCTTAGCTTGGACCTCTCCCCACCACACCCCTCTGTTGAGAATAAATCTGTATATCAAAAAGTATCAAAACATCTCATAAATTATAAACAGAGCAGAAAAACCTTCACACTCTCTTACATCAGACAAGTGAAAAACAGGTAAGGATCCACTTTCCCCCTCATATTAGAACATACCAGAAGATTTAATCTGTTTGCAGAAATGTACCAAAGCTCTCATGTGGCTATAGGTACAGACTGCATGAGTCTTGAGGCAAGTATATCAGTTTGAATTGCTTCTAGATTGAGTCAGCAGCACTTTGGCATTTTGGTACCTTGTGATTGCCATTCCCCCCAGATCCTTTCTATATGTGCCTCTCTGGGTGGATATCAGTTCTATGAGCAGGGTTAGCTCTGAGTAACACAGTCACTTTGGAAATCTAGAGTTGCCAACAGCAGTGGCTGGTAAAGGGGAGAAGGAATGAGACAGGGATCCTTGATGGTGTGTGTGTGGTGGGGGGCAGTGTTCAGAGGAATGAGGAGGAGGTTCCTTCAAATAGGTAGACTTGGGGAGTCCCAATCACAGCTTACCCCCATTTGTTTTACTCACCCACTCAAATGTTCAATCAAAATTAAGTGCTGCATTTGACTGGGCAGTCTTTCGCAGTCTGGATGAATGAGTATATGGAGCGCAGAGGTGAACATGGACCTTGCTCATGGGCACAGGAAGGTACCCATGCCTTTGGGACTATCCCAAGGAAGTCTGCAGCAGGGCAATCTAATGTCAGCCCCCCTCCCCCATTCTATATGCAGCCAACAGGTAACTCCATGTTGCTAACATGAAATAATTAATAAAAATTATCTCCAAATATTGGTAATGTCCAAAGTAGGAATGCCGAAGACTTCTCTTTATAAACCAGCATACAGGTGAATAGGCAGCAATTAACAGCCATCCTTGTAGCGGTCTTAAAAAATCCTAAAGAGATCTTCAGAATCTTACTTTTTTCAGCTTCCCTAATTCTGCTTCTTGGCAGACTTTTTAAAATTTCTCATTGTAGTGACTGCATTTGTAACAACCAGTCATTGTGGTTTTCACAAAACACTTTGATAATAGACCAATATTGTTTTCTAAATGCCAATAGCCATTGTGGCAGCAGGTAGAGAAATCATCGTAGCTCTCAGCTTTTTCTTTCTCTAAAACATCACACCAGTTATATATATATATTCAAAGTAAGAAATACATTTTTGGGTAGAATTAATGCCAGAGAAATATTTACCAGCTCTTTCTATATTTAAAAATGAATGTAGCAATGCACATGGAGTCATCAATAGTTGTTAAAGGCAGTGTGACTTCACTATTTAACATTAGAAAAGGAGAAGTTCTCATGCTACAGCCTGGCAGTGTAGCCCTGTGTGGGTTGGTCAGATGAGGAAGGAATGGGGAGATAATGAGCTTTCTCTATGTTGGGGCATCTGGAGAAACTTACTGTGTTGGCAAAAACTATAGGATGTCATTTGATAAGAGTCAGTGGAATGTGGGAACAAGCTCCACTCTACTTGGGCTTCATATATGTTCACCATGCTAAACCTCACTATGGCAAATGGTGTTATGAGAAGGTCCCCATGTGATAAGGGAGGTCTAGACCCCATTGTCACTCTTCTCAACTAGACTAACAAAACCTGTCTCTTCCCATTCCCCAGGAACACTCCATCTCCAATGTGTCTCAACAATGTCTCTCCCATCGATGCAATGGGGAATTATAACAATGGCCCAGTCATCATCCCCCAGCGCATTCACCATATGGCTGCCAGCCATGTCAACATCACTAGCAATGTGTTACGGGGCTATGAACACTGGGACATGGCCGACAAACTGACAAGAGAGAATAAAGGTATGCTCATCTGCTCTACCTATTATTAACAGCCCATGGTGAAATCAACTGTGCTTTGAAGGGCTTGGATTTTCCTGGTGGCCTTATCTTTCGGTCTCTGATTTTCAGGGCTTAGATAGAGAAGAGTGGGTTACCTCTGTGCTGACACAGTGACCAATATTTTTTAGAAAGTGAAAAAGTCTTGGATTTAAACTAATCTAAACTGTGATGTGTTGGCAAATGACTATTTCAGATTTTCACTCAATGGTAAGGATCAACACAGAGAATCAGGCAAAGAAAAAAGAGAAAGATTTTCATATTTATTGATCCTGTTGGCTTTTTTTGTCAACTTTAATCTTTCTGGGGGACTGAGGGGGAGGTAAGGTTGAACTGAGGCCTTCTACCTTCATTATAACCAGTAGCTCCAGTGAGTACATGATAATGTAGCTTGAATTTAGAAGCAAGGGCCAAAGTTCAGCTAGTATTTTTAACACACTTATAGCTAAAGGTTCTGTTCATGGTAACACATGAGTTTTCTACAAAAAAAAAAAAAATGCAAGGAAGATCCTACTATACCAGAAGGTAAGTGAATTTTGGTGATTCATGCTGTCATCTATGACCTAGCTGTCACATCAGTTCACAATGAAGCCTCACTATGTTAGTGAATGTGGAAAGTAAAAATAAACAGCACTTTTGCCCTGGCCATTCATTTGACTTTGCTTATTTTGGCTCAGGAACCATAGACACCCCAACACCAGTCAAGATGGGGATAGATGTGGGCTTTTTGGCATCAGACTGCAAAGAGGTGACTAGCAATTTGGAGTAGTAGAACTGTCTGGTCAGGAATAGGGAGGCATTAGTATCCTGCATGGTCCAATGGCTGCTGCTCGTGTATGATGTGGTGCAAGCTTCATGGAGTATACTTGGGTGCTACTAGGTCTCCAGCAGTGCAGTGAGTGATAGGGTTTTCCTGTATTCAGGTTGGAGTTGGAGGCCAGCTAGATTCAGATGGAAGTTATCTTGAGTTTGACTCCAAAGGACTTACTGGACTTCCTAGCCCAATTTTTCTCCCAAGCCCCAGAGTCCTCAGAACTCAGATAGCTATCCTTTCATTTCTACTCTGGCCCTAGGGTTCTGGTCTGCATTTCTTCTGTCTGAAAAGCTGCTGCTCTAATCTCTGGGGCTGTACTCTCCAGTGTCTGATTATGAAATGAGGTTCAGCCTACCCAGCCCTCCTCCATGCTGCATCTTCACAGCTATTGCTGAGTATGTGCAGAAACAGTTCCAGTAGAGTAGGAAGGTTGCAGATTTTGAAGCCTGATCATTTATGCATGCCTGGTCATGCACTGGCTAGGGTACCTCAGGCAAGTTATTTAAATCTGTGAGCTACTTCCCAGATTTTATTTCTATAAAGGGAATAATAATAAGATGATGATGATGATGAAAATACCCAGAAGATGATACAGATGTTTTGAATGAAATAATATGTGTAAAACAACTAGCATAAAATATCAGATGCAAGTTAGAAATCCTACAAATATTAATTATCTTTCCTTACTCTATATTATTATATATCTATATAATTCAAAGATTCTGTAGCTATCAAAGTATATTCCATAATTCGTGACTTTAACCCTCAGTTCAACTATATACATTGATTTCTGGTACTATTTACAAATATTGGTTACATGTGTTTGTATAGCAATTTCTAAATGCTAGTAACTGCACTATTTGCTTTATAATTTGTTGACTCTTTTATCCCCATGTCATAGATGAAGAAACTGAGACTCTGAAGTTAAGAGACTTACCCATGATATCACAGTTCTTAATGTTGGGAACATGAATTGAATCTACTGTTCAATTCCAGAGTCTGAACTCTTAACTGATAGACTAGACTGCCCATCTAGAGATCAATATTAATAATGGGTCCTCAGAGACCATCGTGAGCTCCTGCCTTTAGTTACTTGAGTAGTGAATAATTCTTGTCTACTATTCTAGGTGAAAACCCAAAGCCAACTGGTCCAGACAACCAGGCCTATCCAAGGGTTCTAGAATTGCAAGCAAAGGCACAAGCATCTTAAAACTTGGCTAGCGTATCTGCCTCCAACACTATGTTATTTTGTATAAGTAACTGGAGGACTGTTCAATATTTATGAATTTCCTTCATAATTACATTCATTTTAAAAATACATTAGGGTAATTTATTTTATTTTTATTGTATTTTTTCTATCACCATTTATCCCCTCTGTGACCTCTTCCATATACACTACTCCCACCCCCACAGTCACCACACTGTTGTTCAGTGGGCTGGGGAGAAGACCTGTTTGGAATCTTCTCTTTGTAGCCTTGAAGTTCACATACTTGTCATTTCTGAACTGCTTACAGCTGGGATTCTTCCCACATCTGTCTTGTCCACACAGAGATAGGGAAACTGAGGTACTTTTCTTTGGATTGGTACTATGCATCCCACTAGAGACAACTGTGTACTTTCACCTTTTTCTACCCAATTGTGTAATTGGTGAGGTTGGCTCTCTCAGTGGAAAGTCTCCATTTCTGCCCCATGCCTACCCACCCATGAAGCTGCAGATGACTTATTTCAGAAGATTCTAATGCTAAAATTGACCAATGGGGCTGATTCTACTCTCCGGCCTTTGGTCTAGAAGCCCTGTACCCTACCTTCCCAACTGCTTGCTAGAAGCAGTTATTAAAATGATGACCTGAATATCTAGTTAAGAATACCTATGGGAAATCCAGGTTCACATGCTGCTCACATTCATTCAACAATGACTAGGTCCTTTAACATGTCTTTTAATATTGTATTACATAATAAAATGTTTTAGATGCTAATAATAAGTTACTTCTTTATCAGCAGAATTACTATTATTGCATAGTGTGGGTTAAAAAATATCACATAATCAATGAAGTTGATATCTAGAAAAGGAGCCCACATGCTACGCATAACATGAGGAATAAATTCACTGTTTAGTGAAATACCATCTGCTGGAAAATCAAGCACATATAACCTATGCATGGAAATTGTTTTTCAAGAAGGCAAGAGAGAATCCTGACCACTTTACAGTAGTCTCAGCCTCCCCGCAAATACCTCACCCCTAACCAGCACAGGTGTGATTTCCTCATGGCTGAAGCTGCTTTCCTGTGGGAAGCTAACAAAGGGGATGCAGAGAGCCCTCTCCTAACCAAGATTAACGCAGTGTGAGACAAATCAATTTAGACATGGAAAGGGGACACCTAGCTAGTTTCCAGACATTATATAGTATTTCCCATAACCCCTACCCCTGCCTGCACCCCAAAGCAGAAATTCTAATACTCTGTAAACATTGGTTAGCATTACTATCCATCACTCTACCTCTATCAGTGTTTCCCTTTCTCCCAGTCAACTGGAGGAAAATCAGCTGGGAATTCTTACTATCAGTGTCCTGGGGGTAGGGAGAGTTGTTATGTAACACATACTTGAAGGTCATTTTCCTTCCCTGAAGCAATAACCCTTACAAAATGAGATGCCTCCTGCACGTTTATTTGGTCTTAGAAGCTGATGGCTATAATTGCTGTCCAGGTTCACTGGCTATGTCTTCATCATGCCAAGAAAATTCAGTAAACACAGTTTATTTTGACAAAAATGAAAAGATAATATTTTCCAATCAATACCACATACAATGACAAACAGCTTGCTGCCATATAGACCATGGCTCTCTACCATTTTGTGTATAAGGATCCCTTTCGAAATATAAATTTATAATAAATAAAAATGTAAATTAAATACATAATATAAAATATATTTAAATATATTATATATTTATATATCATTTATGTGTATATTTAAATGTATAATTATATATTTATTATATAAACATAACTACTAGTATATAGGCAAATACATTTATATATAATATATAATATATACATATCGTGATGTGTGTGTGTGTGTCTCACAAACCTCCACAAGATTTTAATGTACTTTTAGAATTGTTGTCTGAGAAAATATTACTACAAATTAGCAGATTTAAATGAATTTGTGTTTTATTAATCACAATAACACAAACATTATTTATGCTGCAGAGATTTTGGATCTAACTAAAGATCAAAATAATAGTACTTTATATACATATGGGGCTTTAGTCCCCTAGTAAGTACTCTATAATTTTTTATGAGTGGATGAACAATGAATACATTTTCCTATGTCCACATGGTTGTGTTGTTGCATGAAGTCAGCTTAAGCAATCTGGTGCATATTTTCATGATGTCATTTAAAGGTTTGACCAAGATCTGCTCTGATTTTCAGAATTCTTTGGAGATCTGGACACACTGATGGGGCCTCTGACCCAGCACAGCAGCATGACCAATCTTGTCCGCTACGTTCGCCAGGGACTGTGTTGGCTGCGCATCGATGCCCATTTGTTGTAGTGGGTGCTCCCCCATGTCCAACATTACCATCCATCACTCTACCTCTACCAGAGTATCAATGGTTACTGGTGGAACGCCACTCATTTGGAACGTTCTCTTTATGTTTGTTTTTGTGCTTTTCTCGATATCTGTGAAAAACAGAAATCATTGTAAGTGGACACTACAACTTGAGAACAGTGTATGTTTTATTACTTAGTCATTTTTTAGTATTTTGTATGCATTTATTAGATCCTACCATCCTTTTGTGCTGGATGAAATAACACATCCACACAACCCAAAACAAAGAATGGAAAATACTTGCTATAATAACAGGTTCCTGAGAAATTAAATATATATATATATATATATATATATATATATATATATATATATATATATACTTAAACACAAAGGACCATCAAGTATTCAAATTTTCAGCAATAGCCATTCCCCAAACTATATTATTATGTCCAGAAAATAATGTATTTCAAAATCCATTGTTAAAGTTTTGTGGTTCCTATAGAATTGATCTTCAGGTGAGAGTTTTCATTGTCAAAATTCACTAGTTAGATGTTGTAGCAATATCATAAAATCATGTATTAAGAAAATAAATGAGCATAGTAATGCCACTCTTAAAACAATACTGTGGCAAGCACCAGAGGACATTTTTGTTAGCATCCCTCTCCCTGATTCCCCATTTTTAAAATTTTAATAACCATGAGTGGCAATATTTGTTTGGACAACTTTAAGGCATCAGCTAGCATAAATATTTTTGAACACCATAATTTTAAATGTAAATATTCACCTGGAATTCTCTTTGTGTAAAGCACTCCTCTTGGGGGGTACTTTCGTGGGTGCACTCCCTAGTAGCCAAAATGCTGATAGTTGGGTCCAAAATTGGCAGGATTTTTTTATTGCATTGTGCTCAAATCTCTAGAATCAAAGGTCAAGTTGTCACTACCTAGAAATAATAATATACAGTTTGCTTTCTAGTGGCTTTAAAATATGGACTTCCCCAATTAATATCCCCAATCTCTATTTACAAGGTTTCTTTTTCTTCTTCATTTTCTATTCTATTTCTTTTCTTTTACTTTTTTCAGGGGCTCATTAGATTTTAACTGAAATACAATCACTGATTTTATTCAAGTCTCTATTAATATGAGTCATTTCCATTAAAATTCCAAAGATAGGTCCACATTTTCTAAGTAGTAGAGCTAGTCTTTTAACAAAAATTAGTCTGGAGGCAATGCTTTAACCTAGAATTTTTTTTGAAAAAATCTTGAAGATTAGGAACAGTTCACCCAATTTGGACATTTCTAGATCAGTTGCAATTATCCCCACCCCTTATAACCCTGTACATCCATTTCATGGCCCTAAACATTACAATGTAAATATCATCTTTAGTATTCCAGTTCACCAGAAGAATTCCCCACATGTGCTAGACAATATCCATGCATTAGTTCTGTATAATTACCTGCTGGTATATAATTCCTCATAGCCTTTAATTTTCTGAGTTAGTGAATTTTGTTCACTGTTAATGACAAGTTAAATAATAGATATATGCACATGAAAGATGAAAACTTGTATGAATTTTAAACCAACTCATGCAAGTTTGTGATTGGAACAGCAAAGGATCACTCTGCACTCTTATTGTCAAGGTTAGATATCACCACAGTTGCAAAATAACCAGACCTAAGCTCTTCTCTGGTCATCATTGAGTTTAAGGTCCGGTCCTTTGTTGTATAATAAGGTTGTGACAGTTTACTCCAATGGCTGAAACCACATTTTTAAAATGACTGCTGGTAATGTTCCAGTAACTGAACCCAGCACTTTTTATGCTCCCAGTGAGGTTAAGCTTTACATTCACAGTCTCAGCAACAATACTACCACATGCAGACACACAGAGATAAATGAAACCTCAGAGAATATTTTCTGAGTCTCTTAAATGAGGAAAATAATAATATGAAAGACTCCAATCACCCAAGGTGGGTGTCATATATAACAAATTAAGCTGATGGCTTTGCATTGACCTAAGTTATCTTAATGGCTTACCAGGTAGAGTGCATGACTATTACTATACAGGCTGGGGCAAATGTAGGTTTACAGTTGTTCATATGGAAAATAATACAATAATTAATAAATAATGATTCAAGAATAAACTCTAAGTTTCATGTACTCATGACTTTAACCTTACTTTTGTCTCACCCTGTATAATGAAGCCCACTGGCTTGCCTTACAAATTCAACCTAGAGCACATTCTGAGATGATCATGGATTTAGGAGCAGATTCTACTAGAAATAAAATCACCGGAAACTAGATATTAGAATGCTAGGGGAAATTTCCAAGGAAAGCAAGCATATTGCCTCATGGATGTAAGACTTGTAACTCTAGTTTCAGTAAGTTGCTATGTTTACTTTACATACAACAGGGAGGTAGCAGAGAATCCTGCTTCCTGATGTCCTCTCTGGTAGCTGAGGGTAGTGTGTGCCAAGTCAGCAGCACAATTATCAAATCTGACAGTCGAGCTCAGGACCACCACGAGATTATTTAGTATACCCATTTGTAAAGCAGCTTAGAAACCAATTAAACATGGAGGATAATTCGCCTTCCTGTCCTTGGAGATGAGATATCTTTCCATTTCATGATTAAGGATTGTTGCTGTTTTCTAGGCACTCTATCACATTATAAATGGTGATATGTGTCATAGATGTGCAGCTATTTGAGGGATTGAGATAGTTTGCCAAGTAATCTCTTCAGTGTACCAGTTTGTGGGAGGGATGCAAGACATGTGGATGGCAATGAGAGATCCTGCCTTGAGACCTTGATGGAGGCTTGGTGAGACACATCTCAATAAGCACATAGAGGTAGGATAATGGGCAGAACAGTGACCAGCTCCACCTGAGCAAGTACACAAATGATCTCAGCCTTGCAAAGTGACCCAGGTAAAGCCACCACTATGACTTCATTAGTTATCCATACTTCAACCACAGAGACTTTGACATGTCTGTGTTATGATGTTGGCTTGGCTTTGTATATTTCATTGACTTTAGGTTTTTTAGTGGTTTTGGCATATTACTGTCTGAGTTTGGTAGGTAGGATTAATTTGAAAAGGGTATACTAGTGTGGTCCTCCAAGTAGAATTTAGCCATAAACATGTTGTTAGCCAGCCTTTAATCTGTTAATTATTTAATAATCTCATTGGAAAAATACTGGTCGTTTTATATTTGGATGATATAATTGGAAAAGTTAGCTGCTGTTAACTTTTAAAAGACTTGAGGCTGGGACGCCTTTTTTTCCATATAATGACATAAAAAGATTCAAACCTTCAGTCAATAACCAAGTTTCTAAATTAGAAACCATTTGCTAAAATGTGTTTTGTTGAATTTTCAAATTGATGGGTTGTCATTTGGACATTACATCAGTAAATACATTGGATTGTGTCTAAATTGGAAAGATATCTGGTCTATTGTATCTTTCCCAAAGGTTTCTAATTCAGATTTTGTTTCATTTGAATTTGCATCCCGGGGGTTGAAGTTGGAGTATGAAGTTGAAAAGCATTTTTGAAGGCAAAATTAATTTATCTGTGAGGGTAAAACCCTCACATCCTTCTCAACAGGCATGATGAAATTCACCTGCATGATTTGGCAGGTGGGAGAACCAAACTGGATCACTGAGTAGGACTACTCAGTAATGTAATGAACTGCTTGCTTAGAGAAGCATCACTATACCCATTAAGAAAATGTGTGGCAAGATGGTATAGCTACACAATATCAAATTAATGGGTTGATTCAGTGCCCCTAAATTCAATTCTGTGGGGGAAAATGTTGAGCCAGTTGTCACTACTATGTTATGCAGCTGGCAGACTAAATTCTTTTTCCTCCTCTTCTTCTTCTTGTCCTTTTTCTTGTCCTCCTCCTTCTCCTTCTTCTTCTCCTTCTTCTTCTCCTTTTTCTTCTTATCCTCCTCCTCCTTCTACCCCTCCTTCTGTTCTTTGTTCTTGTTGTTGTTGTTTCTCATTTCCACTCACACAGTCTTGTTCTCATAATTAAAATCTGATTCATTTTCTCTTCAGTGTTAGCAAACCCCAACAATAGAAGTGGTATCTGCGTGTTGATAATCAGCATTTACCCTGGCAGGAGGCTAATTGGATAGGCTATCTCAGACATTAATCCTATTGTCTGATATTTTCTGGGAAATAAAACGTATTAATTCCCTTTCCATTCATTCTCCTCCTCACAAATCTAGAAGCCCTCTTTACCAAGAGCATCACATTTTCCTCTGAAATCTAGTGACTCAAAGAAAATTGCATTGTGGGGAGTGTAGAGGGTAGGGAAGCCCTTCAGGCCAGGCTGCAGTTCTTGCCCCTTTCTGCTTCTGACATGAGATGTTAATGAATCACCCATCAGGCTCACATTGGGTTAGGGAACATTGAACTTCTTTTCTGATCCATAATCAATCATCAGTCTTCTAAGAGAGTAGAGCTTTGCTGTTTCATTAACTGTGCAGTGTAGACTAATGGTGTTTAATAAACTTTATTCAAAATTTCAAACTCTTTTGCCAGTGACCTCAATTTTTTTGGCTCTTTGATTTATACCAAACTTTGAGGAGGGAAGGGGGAAGCAAAGGAAGCTTCTCTGATACCAGGCCTCTGGCAAGATGCTGCAGTGGCAAACCCATTGCCTGCCAGCACTTGCAGCAGCAGCATGCAGACCAGCTGTGGGAAAACTCCTGAAGAATACCCCAGTGGCCCGGCCAACTTGACTCAGTGGTTGAACATTGACCTTGAATCAGGAGGTCACGGTTTGATTCCCGGTCAGGGCACATGCCTGGGTTTTGGGCTCTATCCCCAGTGGGGGGCGTGCAGGAGGCAGCTGATGAATGATTCTCTCTCACTGATGTTTCTATCTCTCTCTTCCTCTCTGAAATCAATAAAATATATATTTTTAAAAAGAATGCCCAGTGGATGTTTTGAGCTGGGGATAGCTTGTTCCTACTGAGGGACTCATTGTTCTCCAGCCTCTGTAGCAGGAAGTCACCTGCCATATTCAGAGCTTAATAAGAATTGCAAATGCTTAACCTATTTGGTTTTGGAATGCATCATACATGTGGCTACCCAATAGAAACATCTCTGGGAGTAAAGCCCAGTGGGGTGACTATGAGTAGCCAAATACATCCCAAATCCTCATGCCCTTCTGTGGCTGTGCAGTCCTTATGAAATTAGTGGAAGAGGAGCCCCTGGGAAAGA